CTGCTGCTGCCCAGCAAGGGCGAGGTGGCGCCGCACACCTTCTGCAGAGTCGACAAGAACCTGAACACGGGCATGGTGAGTGCGGGAGGCGGGGCTGTTTCAGGGGTTTGAGCCCCCTGATTCGCTGCGTCACTGACCCTGTCGCTGTGCTGCTGTTTGTGTGTCTGCAGTGGGGTCCAGCGCTGCACGTGTGCTACAAGAGAGCCGTGGCCACGGCCAACGCCCTGGTGTTCGAGGCCGGTGAGTACCCGCGTGACCCCGCGTGACCCCGAGTGACCCCGCGTCCTGCAGGAGGGCGAGAGGTAGAAAAGCTGCAGGTGCAGAGACTCGGGAGGTTTCCCCGTCTGTGCAGCTCCCAGCTGCTCACATGTGATGGTTTCATCACGTGGAGCTCCCAGTGCGCAGCGAGAACGTGGAAAACTGAGGGTCGGAAAAGTCGGGATCTGTGCTGGAGTAATCAGAGTATCGCTGCCCCGCAGATCTGATCAGCCGCTACCCGGAGGAGGACCTGGACTCGTTCCCTCTGCCCGAGTCGGTGCCGGTCTTCTGCCTGCCGATGGGCGTCACCGTGGAGAGCTGGCCTCAGAACACCAAGTACCAGCTGCCCGTCTTCTCCACCTTCGTCCTCACCTCCGCCTCCGGGGACAAGGTGGGTCAACTGAACCACAGATCAGCGGGTGGAGGAGATCCGTGTTTACTGTTTGTGATTAAAATGTCTGATAAAACCACACGGAGCAGCGAGCTCGTCGTTCAGTCCGACCTCTGAACCGTAAACTGGCTCCTAACTCATGAGCCGCTGTTACGCCTCCATCTTTGCTTCGTCCCTGCAGGTTTACGGCGCCGCCATCCAGTTTTACGAGTCGTTCTGCAGAGAGCTGCTGTCGGAGCGGCAGAGCATCCGCCTCGGTCTGCTGAGCGTCGTCGACCGGCGGCCCATCACCAACCGCAGCCTGCAGGTGAAGACGAGCATCTGCGTCCTCTCTCACTGGCCCTTCTTCACCGTCTTCCAGAAGTTCCTCACCTTCGTCTACAGATACTCCATCTCCGGGCCCCACGTGCTGCCGATCGAGAAGTCCGTGAGCCGTCTTCTCTCTGCCAGCTGATTAAAAACACGTTATGATCTGTGCACAGATGTGTGCTGATGTCCGTTTCCTGTTTCGTTCCCCTCCTGCAGACACATCTCCAGCTTCATGCACAACGTCCCGTTTCCTTCCCCTCAGCGTCCTCGAATCCTCGTTCAGGTAAGACCGACGAAATGTTTCGCCGTCTGAAACGTTCACAGCGCAGTGATGTTGTTCCACGCTGATACAATAATGATGCAGGTTTGTGTGAGCTGCAACAGGAAGTGTTTGTCCTCCAGGTCATTGCATTAGGTTTCTTCCTGCAGAGCGCCTCGACGCTGCTTCCTCTTAAAGGCAGCTCTTCCTCCCCACAGTTGCCAGGTCTGATGGACGGCGTCAATAAAACTGATCAAACGTGACTGAAGTTGTGTGATTATCCTCATTTTGTAGATTGATCGTGTTTTTCTGATGGAGAAACACGTAGATGGAGGAAACGCTGTGACTTTATTCTTTCCTCCCTGCTGACAGGACGTAGGAGGCGTGTTTGCAGAACAAACGGGTAACGGCGCCCGCTCAGAGCCTCTCCATGAATCACTCTGAAATCATGATTTTAACAAAAACCTGGGTGATGATCAGTGAGGGCTTCACGTGTGATTTTACTTGATTATGATTAATCACGTCACAGTCGCTCGGTTTATTCCTGGAGCAGGGCGGCTTTGCATGAGCCACAGTTCAGAATAATCCTTCTTTGTCTGGAACTCGGGTCAAAGATGCTTTTAGTTCTTGAGAAGATGGTGTGTGTGT